TAGTAAGGTATTTCATAAAAATTTGGTAGTTGTTTTTTCGATGCTTTCAAATGTTGCATAGTCTCTTTAAAGCATCCTTTAAGAACATGTTTTTGGCCCTGAAGCAATGAACCCGAGTTTCTTGCAGAGGTTATACTTTACAACTGAGGACATGGAACAAAGGGCTACCAGAATAAACAATTGGAAGCAGAGCCCAAGAATAAACCTTATCGAGGACCGTTGGAAAAACTAGTAGATATGTGCATTTTCGAACAATTAAACGCTTGATTATTCGAACTGTGCGCGGGCACGCTTACTCTGGAACAGCCTCTTACTCTTACTCTGGAACGGAAACACAATGTTTCTAATACCGACGTTACATACTGAACGGGAATGTTCCGACTTTTGAGACGCTCCCTTTTGTGACATCACCTCCTTCCGAAGGTCAGGCTTACTTCCCCAACAACGGTTCACGTGCATTCCATTACGTCAAATTTCATGTGTTTAACTTTAACACACACGATCACAGACAGCAATTTTACATCCTACTTTTATAGAACATTTTCACAAAGTACAAACTACCTGAAAATGGTTCACTGCCTTTCAGCAGATTGTCACCACACCAGGGCCCAATTACATAGCACTGCTTAACAGTAAGCAGAAAAAGTTGTGCTTACTATAGCAGAAAATCATGCTGCTGCTTAAGCACTATTCATGCTAAAGGTTGAGCGCGCATGGAGATTTCTATTGTTACGTCACTGATTTAAGCAAAGTTTTCTTCTGGGGTTAAGCGTGCTTTTACTGTGCTTACTGCTTAACGGTCCCTATGAAACAGATGGAGCTCGGTAAGCACAAAGTCAGCTGTTAAGCAGCGCTATGAAATCGGGCCCCGTTACAACCACAGTTGTGCTTATTTTCACTTCACAGGGGAGAACCAAGACAATTATAAAATGGATTCAAAACAGCCACAGCGAAACCACGGTCTTCACTGGCTCATTGCAGTGCGCATGGACCAGTAATCATGGTTGCACCGAGTTGACCTCCGAGTTACGTCACGACCAATCCAGCGAATTAGAACTACTTACACGTCCACCTCACAGAGGTAGCAGTGGTTGTTCTCTATGACGTGCTTGTGCTGGGTCCGGTCAAACTCCGGCATGGCCTTCTTGTCTCTGCGCAGGGTGCTGGGGTCAGCTGGGTTGATGGTCAGGCACACCAGGTGCGTTATGACGTGCACGGCGAGCACGACACCCACGATCTGTGGTGACATGGGGTTATGGAAGCAAGACTGGAAACTGAAATTCTGTATCTATATCTGGATTTGTTCGTCCACGTACAAACACCATCTTCTGGTTGTCGCATACGTTGCAGATTTTGTGTTCGGATTTTGGATTTTGAATTGTCCCTGATCTGCAGTGGTCTACACTGTGTAAACGATGTGATGCTTTGCATGGCCAAAGTATCGGTACATGACCTTTGTTTACTAACCCACGGTTGGCACTTTTTAACAGGTTGGCAAACTATGGAAGGCCAACAGCCCAATACTGCAAAAATAAACAATAGTTATTAAAGTTTCCTATTTTAGAAGTAATTAAAAGGATACCATGTGACAGGCCGGCTGCCAATGATACGGAATGGTGGGTACGGCCATGCCATGGAACATCACTGCGAAGGCGGCGATGAAGATCCAAGCGACAAACTGCAGCGGGTGAGGAGGACAGCTCCAACCGTTCCTGCGGGAGCTGGTCCTGTATGTCACTCCCGCCTTGCTAGGAGTAGACTTCTTGCTCATCTTGGGCCCTGTGCTGCCCTGCAGCTAGCTGTCCACAGAATATACAAAGGTAGGATCATTTGCAATTACAGTAATATCTCAATAAGTCAAATTCTGATAACTCAAAAACAACTGTTTACATTGGTTTAGTCGAACACAAAATCCATTGCCTTCCGAAGTATAACAATGATATACAGCCCTGCTTAACTCAAAACTCTGCTGAAGTCAAATATTTTGAACCTGTTCCCTTGAGGTTTGACTGTCCCCAAAGTAACGTACCAAATTGCTATCAAAAACTTACATGGATTAACCTTAACTCCCTACTGTCTCTAGTCTTATTCTACTGGACCAAGGCCGCCAAAATCCATCAATCACACTGCTTCCAATGCATGCTTTGCTTTAGGCCTCGTCCATCATACCCCATCAATATTTAGTCAAACCAGGCCCGCAGGACCAAGTACCCCAAAATCCACCAAAATTGGGGTATGGATTTTGATGGAGTTGGAGAATAGGGTTAAAGATTGACCTATCACGGTAGAATGGCGGTAGAATCGCGTCAATGCAGCTATTATTATTAATACAAATGGATGCGGAATGCAAAAAATCTGAGACAAACAAAACTTAGCGTACAAAATTCCATCGGGTTGTCTAAGGGGCGTGGCTATTCTCGCAAACGGCGATAGGTCAATTGTAGGCCTAGGTCTACAACTAAAACCATGAATCAGTAAGAAAAAATATGAAATCTACTGAAGTGAAGTTAGCCGACTTCAAGCTCAAGTCTTCAAATGAAAAGTGGGATTTTATTTTTTTTTTTTACATTAAGTAAAGAAAACTAGGGGGCCTACTGAAGAAAAAAAAACAAAAAATCTTTCCGACATCACCGATTTGATCCCGGTACCTTCTGCACAGTAGTCTAACGTTTACCAAAGGCATGCCATAACATTAACAATACTGTTGAAAATCGTGTTACGGCTACCTTAACGATAGCCACTAGGCCTAGTAGTAGACGTAAAACGAAAGAAAACAAACAAACATTACAATCATGAATCAAATGACTTTTCCTGAAAGTAATCAGAATAGACTGGTACCCATAATAGTGTTTGGCTACAACACATATTAATACATACTAGTAGCACAGGGTTTCAGACTTCACAAGAAAAATACGAAAATCGAAATTGTTGAGAAAAACATATATATCCATTTCCAAATCGCATGAATAAGAAGACTCACCAGCCGGTTCTTGTCATTTTCGATAAAGATTAAGGAAACCTCGAGACTTATTTAGCACAAAAGAACGTTCTTGAAGAAGATATATACCAAAAAATCCACTAAAAAAAAAGTATCGAAAGAAGCCTCTCGATCATCTCTCGTAAAATGTATTCATTGACAACCAACAAATGTGCATATTCATTATATGTAAGTAACCATTGTTTGCATATCGAAACAAAATAGATCTACCCTGGAGGTAATAAGTACAAAGATTTAGCACAAGCCCAATTAATTGTATATAAAAGAAAAGAAAACAACATTTGCAGGCATGTTTTATTCAATTTTTATATAAACTGTGTCCCTAGAATGCTAATAAGACGCTACTAAAACTCGCGGAACGATATAATCAATATTGCAGGAAAATTACAATGAGTTTCCGCCGTTATGGCAACTACATGCGTGTCTTTGTATCATGTATGGCATCTGAATCAGACAAACCGAAAGTTATAATAAATCAAATTGCTCATAAAATATACAGATAAAACAAAATAAATCTAGCCTAAATATCATCTTTGATAGGTTGTTGAGTCAAATTATTGACACTTGTCATATTTTTTGCGCAAGTAACCAAACAATTAATTACAACAGGCTAATTTGGTTGTATTTATTTTTTTATTTTTGGTTTGTAATAATGGCTTACTGTAATAAACAGCGCCCTCAAGTGGTGATCCCACGCATGAAATCTAGACTGGTACCAACGTATTGGCCTTTGCTCAATACGCATGGCGCACGAGTAGGATAGGTACCAGCCTCACTTGTAAACTTCCGTGTTTTGGTTCTGCGTCGTCGGCTTCGGAAGTTTTTAACAAAAATAACAGTCTCCGGAGATCTGTTCCAGCTGGGAATCTCGTTTAGTAAAAAGAGTAAGAAATCGGGAGAGCAATCTAGACATCACCATTTCGCCATGCCTGGAAGAAAAGTTCATGTTTTACCGACAGCCGATATTCCAACGGCCGTGTGCGACTTCGTCGCCGAGCAGAGCAAAGCGGCCGTACGGGAGCGAGGGGCGTTCTACCTCGGCGTGTCGGGCGGCAGTGTCGCTAAGTTCATGGTCGAGGGCCTGCCTAAAATCCAGGGTGTGGAGTGGGATAAGTGGCATGTGTTTTTCTGCGATGAGAGGCTGGTACCGTTGAGGACGGTGATAGCACGTACAAGATATACAGAGTAATTTTTCTTTACTTTTAATGATAGGAACTTGGAAGTGTATTTAGCCAGCGCCGGCTAATTTTCAGTAAATGTTATTTTGCCAGTTAGGTTGTACAGCAACCCCTATATTGTAAAAGATATTAAATTACCACCATCGGATGCGCAAGAAGACCTGTGGCCTTGTGGATAGAGCGTGTAACTCATGGGTGGGAGTACTCCTAGAACTATGAGGCTCCATGTAGTGGTAGTGGAGCCTCATAGGCAGATTACCCCGCTAAACTGTTTGCTATACAAAACGCCAACTAAGTACAAAAACGTCCGTCCAAAGGGAAATTAAGTCCGAAATTGTAAAATGGTCTGATTCCCATTTCGTGAATACAAAGTCACAACAACAATGTTGGCGCAAAGCAAGACTATAAGATTGTCACAGTGAAAATGTCTAAGTCCCCAAAAAAGTCAGGTGCATGTTCAGTGCTTAGCCGGCAAAATGTTGTCTACCTAAATTTACCCTGCACCGGCTGAATGTACACTGCCTTTTCATAACATATTAATTATTACTGGGCCTTTTACAAGTATTGAGCTGGATATTAAGCCTGCTTGATTGTGCAGCGCCCTCTTTGACTGTGTCTACATTATAAAAGGTATAACAACTCCCAGGTCTTTTGGAAAAAATTCCGTACTCGGACGTCACTTTTTTCAATTATTTTTCTAGCGCCAAAAGTTGCATCTTTTATGGTTATTCCTCCACTTTCCCTCCTCTACTCTCACCCTCTCCTTTCCTTAATTTCTATTTATTAATCAGTCAGTTACTTCATCGGGATTCGAACCTCTGGCGCTTGCTTGATACACGAGACTCTTAACCGCTAGGCCGCGCACGATCGCTGTTGCACTAATCAATCTTTGGACGTATTTGAAGTATCCATTGAAATAAACTAAATATTCATCATGTTCATGAGAAAATAAATATTCATAATGACGTATTGCACTATCATTGGCAGGCTCATGCGACGTCATGGTTGTTGGTCACGTGTATAACGTAACGCTGTCTTTCAGCCACTACAATCAGTTTTGACCGGCTGCTTCAAGCTAGTTCTGCACGACGTATGCATCCAAAATGTGCTCTAAAAACACATTTTGAGTAAATTTTTTTCACCTTAACACAGCTTCCTGGATTTCTCTTGGTTCAAATGACAAGGTGAGGTGACAATTAATATGTTTGGCAGCAGATAAATTGACGTCCGAGTATGGAACTTTTCCCGGTCTTTTTGCTAAGATGTAACCTCAATCCTGCAAAATCCTCCGTTATTTCTTGAATGTGTTCATTGGAGGGGGACCACTGCCTCAATCCTGCAAACTCCTCCGGCAATCACTGTCACTATATTGAGGTAGAGAAATTGATATTTTGGAGCAGTGGGAGGATTTCAAGTATAATTAGGCCTAAATGTATGCATGGCTGAGCATAAACGACACAAGGTCTGGCCCAAGACCTTGACACAGTGCGTCCTCCGAAATCAGCAACACACTTTTGCCATGTAGGCTCAATCTTGCAAATTCCTCAAATTTGCAAAGGGGATTTTGGAGGATCAAGAATGGTTTGGGTTAAACTACGTTTGTGTAGCACCTGTGGCTGAGTGGATAGCGCGTATTTTTTATGAGTGAGCGATCCCTAGTTCAACTTGTGAACTACTGGCTAGCGACATTTTCGAATTTTCCTTTTTTCATCCCAAAAAATTAAGAATATTTTCCCTATATTGACTCTAACATTTAATAGGCCTATAGTTATAGTCAAAATTAAGTCATTCAAATAATTCTCAAATACACATTTGTGATGCGATCAAGCTAAATGATTCGTTATTCGACCCTAGACATTTTTTTTTTTTACAGATTTGAAAAGAACACAATCTCAGCACTACTGCTGTGAAAAACCGCATGCTGGCACCATCTTTAGTTAAAAAATTATGGAAGTCGGAACACCAGAGATGTGATGAAGTGATGTGATGAAGTGGCCCTATTTTAGCCTGAATCTTCAAATGAAAATGCCAGACAAACGACTCATTTAGCTGGACCGCATAACATTTAAGTGTTTTTGACCTGTACATTTTTTTTGTATGGAGGACTTTTACTCTGATTTGTTTTGTTGTTAATTTTCATCATTTGTTCATGATTTTAAAAGAAAATAGTAAATAAAATTACTGTGGTATATTACTACTTTCTTTCACAGGAACTGATAGGAAAGGTCAACCTTCCAGAAAGTCAGATCTACCCCATTGATCCGTCGCTGTCTGTCGCTGATGCAGCCAAGGACTACTCGGCCAAAGTTGGCATTGTACCCTCCGGGGAGACAAGTTACCAGTCTTTGATCTCCTGGTTCTTGGGATGGGACCTGATGGCCACACTTGTTCCTTATTCCCTGGCCACAAGCTGTTAAAGGTGACTTTTTTCCCAAGACCACTAACCAAGAAATCAAAGACTTACTTACGTACCAGAAAAACAAGTGCAAGTGCACAATAAGCTATAGTGACATATGCGACGCCGATGGCACCTATGGAACACCACACCTTTGGTAAATTTTCAGGACAGACAGACGGACCATCCGACTGACCACCAAGTAACTATAGAAGCTCCTGCGAGAGCTGAAAAAATCGCACCCTGCCCACCTCTTAGGGACATTTCCTCCTGGAGAATACCGTCCAACCACTGCACAAATTGGCCTGGTTCGAGGAAGATGTTGTACAGCGCAAGTGCGAGTGCTTAATATGGCCATGTTGCAAGAAGTCTTGCATGAAATCAATGAAAACAATCCTTGCTAGAACTGAAAAATGCGACGCCGAAAAATGCGACGCTGATGGCACATATGGAACACCATACTTTTGGTCAGTTTTGTGGGGACAGACAGACTGACAGACAGACTGACCACACTAGAAGCTCCTTCCAGAGCTTAAACAATTCACTTAATTGACAAAAATCTCAAAATTTTCTGAATTGTGTCATTCCAGAGTTTCAAAATTCACTTAATTGACAAAAATTTCAAAATGTTCTGAATTGTTTCATTGAATATATACACTACACTGTATTTTTATATAGGAGTATGAAAAGACACTTAATATTTAATTGAATGTATTTTACCCACCAATAGGAGGAGTCTCTGATAGTTGCTCCCATCGATGATTCCCCTAAACCTCCACCGTGTCGAGTGACCTTGACCTACCCAGTCATCAACTCCGCCCGCTGTGCTATGTTTGCATCCGCTGGTGCCAGCAAGGCAGAAGTGGTCCAGGTGAGGACAAGTTTTTAGTTTTCGGCCATTTTGGTAAAACACATTAAATGTTTGTTTTCTTCCGGATCCTGACTTTGGTGAGCTAAAATCTCTTGGGGATTCATTCCAGCCTCTACCCACGTTGTGTGAACAATTTCACTTGATTTCGTGAAGTTGGATTTTTGGGTCCAAAATCAGTATTTTTGATGACTGCGGATATGGAAAACTTTTCAGAATTCGACCATTTTCGGTAAAAATATGAAATTTTTTGTTTTCTGCCTGGATCCTGACTCTGGTGAGCTGAAATCTCTTGGGATGCATTTCTGGCCTCTACCCACCTTGTGTGAATATTTGACCAAATTTTGTGAAGTTGGATTTTTAGGCTAAACATCAGTATTTTTGATGACCGCGGATATGGAAAACTTTTCAGATTTTGGCCATATTGGCTCAAAAACTGAAATGTTTCTTTTCTGCCTGGATCCTGACTTTGGTGAGCTGATATCTCTTGGGGATGTATTTCTGGCCTCTACCCACCTTGTGTGAACATTTGACCAAATTTCGTGAAGTTGGATTTTGGGGCCAAAAATCAGTATTTTTGATGACCGCGGATATGGAAAACTTTTCAGATTTTGGCCAATTTGGGTAAAAACTGAAATGTTTGTTTTCTGCCTGGATCCTGACTTTGGTGAGCTGAAATCTCTTGGGGAT